CGAGAGGCGGGCGCCGTCACCCGGGCGCCCCCTGGGCAGGGGACCCGGACCTGGACCCACCCCCAGCTCCGGCCCCAGCCCACGGCCCTCACCAAGCAGCCCTCTGACCTCCCTCCGCCAGTGACCCGTCCCAGCCCCGAGAGCTACGCCTGCGGGGCTACCTCTGCAACCAGGGCCCGAGACCCGCCGCATGCCACCCAAACCTGGACTGGGCCCCAGGGCCCCACAGGAGAGGCACACGGGTCCTCCTGCACCGGTGAGGCGAGGTCCCTGGAAGCCGGGATGGGCAAGAGCCCGGCCAGGCCTCACTCCCACGGGGCAGCTCACTGGCCGCAGGTCCCAGGGGCCGGGCACCCTGATGCCAGGCCCGGTGGCCTACCGTACTTCGTGGGGAACACGTCTTCGTCCGTCACCAGCTTCTGCACAGAGCTCATGACGAAGTCGACGTACTGGGGGGCCGTGCACTTCACCTTCTTCCCCCGCTCGTCGTGCCAGTAGTACTGTCTGTGGGGACGGGCGGTCAGGCACCACCCCGCCACAGCGCCGTCCGGGGCTGAGGGCCCTGCTGCAGTCGGAGGTGGCACCCAGCCTGCTCCCCACAGCCCAGGGACAGCCGTGGGCCCCTGCAGCGGGGTCTGACGGGGGCCGGCCCGGGGAGGGGCCGTCTCCACTGAGGCGTCACATCCTCGTAAAGCAGCGGCTCTCGCCTCCCTCACCTCAGGGCCCATAAACTAAACACTGAAACCCCACAGCACACAAAAACACATTTTTGCCAATCTGACAAAAAATACAGGTGTAACTCGGACTCATTCACACAGGACGGCTATTGCTGTGCTAGCTGCTGCCACTTTCTTACTTGACAATCTCAGGGACAAGAGACCAGTGCCCCTGACTAACAGGCAGGTGTGGCGCGTTGTAGAAATTCTTGCGGCACCGGCTGAAAGTCGCTGTTTTAAAGAATCGTGTGATTTGTGTCATTTTAAGAGGCCCCGCTTTCCCGTCTCCCTCGAGGCCTGGCCCTCGCAAAAGCCCTGTCCCCCGAGAAGCCTCCGCCTCTCCACAGGCGGCTCTGTGAGAAGGTAAAGGAACCTTCTCCCCTCCCGAGGGTTGTGGGTCCCCCGCCAGGTGGACTCCGGGAAGGAGGTTGGCAGGACGGGGCCCACAGGGGCACGTGCACCTGCTCCTGTGCTCCCCACCCCTCTGCTGACGTAGGGGTGCCCCTGGCACAGGTGTCAGAGTCTCAGAAAGACAAGTGTGGCTGCAAACTGGGACAGGTGAGGCCTGAGGACAGCTCCCCCGGGACACCGGTGGCCCATCTGTTGGAACGAGGAACACTGCTTCCCCTGTTCCTCCCCTGTGCCATTTTATTCCACAGCCCTTCTGTGGCCCGCGGTCCGGTGCAGGCCGACTTGAGCACAGGCCCCACCCAAGTGGGGTCTGAGAGATGGGAGACCTTGCATGGACACCGTGCGAGCGGGCTCTGAGAGACGGGGGAACACGCGTGGACGCTGTGAGGGGGTCTGAGGTGGACGCACAGCAGCAGGCCACGGCCCACGGCCCTCCCGAGTCCCCAGGCCCGGCGCACCAGGCGGCACTCACGTGTTGCACACGGCCATGGTCTGGCACGCCTCCCCCGTGCAGAACTCCGAGATGGTGCTGTACTGCAGGTTGACGTGGTGGAAAAACGTGGTGGCTGTGAGGAGAGAAGAGGGGGCATGAGCACCACCACCTCAGACGCAGCACTGCCTGGGGTGAGTCCTCGGTGCTTGAACCTGGAGCAGCCAGCATGTCTCACAGACCAGAGATGAAGGCCCTGCACGGAGCCCCAGCCTTGGGAATGGCCGCCAGCCACCGCCAAACAGGCAGGCACAGGCCTGGACAGCAAGCACCAGGCTGGGCAGCTGGCTGGTGCCATAGAGACTGAGCCCCCACAAAGGGTGGGGCAAACATCCCACCCCAGCGAGGGCCACGAACCCCTGCTCTCACAAACACGAGCTGGGTCGGGGTGCCGCTGGGCACTGGTTAAACAGGAGGCCCTCCAGCCCACCCTTCAGAGAAGAGCTGGTTCCCGGTAGGGTCCGACCACGTGTGCAGGTGACGCTCGTGTGGCATCCTCTGAGCCCTGAGCCCAGGCCTGCCCAGGACCTGCACCGAGGCCCTCAACACCGAGGGCAGCCACCCGTGCTCTGCTTTCAGCCGACCTGTGCAGTTAGGGGAGTGAGGCCGGGCCACCCAAACAGCACGCCCTCTGCAGCACCTCAGCACTGCCTCCCTGCTGGTCCCCGGCCCATCCGCTGGCCCTGCCCACCGTCCCCACCGTCCCCACCGTCCCCACGCACTGTTGCTGGCTAGCCACTCATTGAGGTCGATCTCCCGGGGCAGCAGCACCAGCTCCCTGAGCTCACAGTCGGTGATCCGGGCCCTGGCGCACTCGGGCTCCAGGTACGCCTTCTTCCCCTCCGCCGCCGGCTTCTTCCCATTGGGCTTCGCCTTGGACTTCCTGCGGGGAGAAGGGGGCAGTCACCACACAGCGGTGCAGGCGTGGAGTCCATGACAGGCCCCGGAGACAGCAGGGCTGCCCCCATTTGGTGGGACACCAAGGTCTCCGGGAGGTGCCCTGGAGATTCCGCTCCCACCGGCACCACACGCCGCCCAACCACCATCTGGCCGGCAGAGCCGTCCTGCCAGTGCAGGGGAAGGGACAGAGACTCAAGCTGGTGCCTGATGCCACGGGGCCGAGCCTAGGCTCTGAGCTCCCCCCACGTATGACGATGCAGCCCTGCAGCCAGCCTGGCCCACGCCTAAGACCTGGGCTCCCAAGGCAGGACCAACACGCAGGACACAGGGCCGGGCATCACTCACCCTGACCCTTGGTCAGGGGAGGGTAGGCGTCCTGCACCCCTGACCCGACAGCCCCTGACTGAGCACCTGCTGCCTGCCAACACCCCCGCCCCAGTCACCACGGCTGCAGGCCCATCTGCACACCTGTCCCGTGCCTGTGCCCCCTCCGAGGGCAGGAGCAGGTGTCCTGGGAGAGAGGGTGCCAGGCGGGTGCTACAGAACCTGTGGAAATGGCCAGTCCTCACTGAGACTGCGTCTTGTTTAGGAAGATGGTTCTCCACGAAATCGTGCTGTTGGCCAGCGGGGAGCAGGCCTGCACGGTCCTCTCATGAGTGAGCAAGTGTTCACTCCTAAAATGCCTCGTCTCCATCTGAAGAGTGCACGTCGGCAGCTAACACCACGAGCCAGCACGCTCTGGTGCCAAGGGGCCGCACACCCTCCTCAGCGGGAGGCCGAGGCCCCGAGCCAGCCGCCCGCCACTGCCCAGGCCAGAGCTGGGCTACGGTACCTGCAGCTGAGGCTGGCAAGGGGAGGGCACGTCTCCAAAAAGGAAAACTGCCCCAGGAGCGGCCCAGAACTGAGGCTGGAGATGCGGGCCAGGCTGGGTGTGGCACAGGTCACTGCATTGGTCGCACTGGAGCCGCCTGGGCAGAACCCTGGGGTGGCCGTGGGCCCACTGCCCCGAGGTCGCCCTCCTTGGCCCCAGCCGCCCGCTCTCAGGATCCTCAGACCTGCGGAGGAGCCAGGCGCTGCCCACCTGGGGACTTGGCGGCCCTCCCAACTGCCCTGGCCAGGACCACACGGCGGGGGGCTGTGGGGGTGAGAGGTCTCTGCAGCTCCTGACCTGGCCCTTTTTCTGTTCTGTGTTGAAAGCAGCTGGTGGTTTATTTGAGGAACAGGAAGAAAAAATGCTCCCCGGATGCCAGGGAAATGTTTTCCTTCAGCTTCTCACAGCAGATCTTCGCCTTAAAAGGCGACATGAGCTGGCCTCTGGGGCAGTGCTGGAGTGGCCAGTGCCAGGCCGGCCACCGTGTTCTGGGGACGGGCGGGACAAACCTGACCTGGGATCCCAACCCTACCTGGTGGGCCAGCTAGCGCACAGGCAGGGATGCTGCACACGGGCACAAATAACGTCCAGGTTTAGAAAACAGGATGAAGCTTGAAGGCACCGGTCATTCTGGGCGAGGGCTGGTGGTCCCCAGGCACACAGTGAGTGTGCTCCCCTTTTTTCCTGGGGTCCCCCTCAGCCTGCTGTGTGCGCGTGTGTGGTTGCTCACTCGATCCCTCAAGGATGCTGAGATAGCTCGGGTCATGGCCAGGCAACAGATGCAGGCAGATCTGGAAGGGGTGCCGTGGAGGCCCTGAGAGCAGGAAGGACCAGAGGTGGCTCTGTCTGGAGACAGCCTCCTGGGATGTGGGACGGAGCAGGAGGGAAGGTCTGGGGTGTGAAGCAGGGTTAGAGGAACCTGTGGGTATGTGAGCAGTGGACCAGTGCTCACAGGTGCTGGGGGGCTCACAGACACCGCTCCACGGAAAGGGGCGCTGTTGGTGGTCTAAGAAGGGGGGCCCAGGGAGAGGGTGGCTGCTGGGGACTGAGAAGATAGGGCCAGCGGGATGCCACCCTGAGCCTCTGCCACTCCTCACTCCAGGCTACCTCAACCTCAGGGCAGGGGCACAGGCTCAGAATCCCGGGTCCTGGGCTCAGGCCTGAGAAACAGCTGTCCATGTGGGCAGTGTGGGGGGAGTCGGGGGGAGAAATAAAGGGGCTCAAGGCCCCACCTGCTTCTGGTGACAGGACAGCCAGGCTCCTACAGACCTCCTCCCCAGGACACGGCAGGGCACAGACTTGGGAGGGACTCAGCAGGCTGTGCAGCCCCCGCCCTGGCCGGAGATGTGGGGTTGGCCCTGTCGCCCCTAATGCCAGGCACAGACATGCAGGGACCGCTGGCACTGGGACTCTCCACCTCCCATAGGCATCTCATCCCGCGGGGCAGATGATCATGGAGGCTTACCGCCATCCTGACCCCTGAGTTTCTAATGCAGGGCCCTGGGGTGGGCCCTGAAAACTGTCCTTCTGATGCTTGGAGGTTCCTGGCCTTGACGTTTTCTCGGGACCCAACTGGCCTGCTGCCACCACACCCCCACGGCACAGAGCCTGGGAAGACACCCCGGGACCCCTGACCTCCACGGGCTGCAGCTGCCATGCTGTTTCTCTTGGTTTGACGGCCCAAACGAAGCGGCTTTCACAGGCCAATGCCGCACCTGGAGGGAGACTGACCACAGGCCGCCAGAGGAAGGCAGGTCAGGAGCTGCGAGCACCGAGCACTGCTGACCCCAAACTGCAGCCACTGTGCTCAGACCACAGGTTCCACTCTCTAACACCTGGCGGAGCTGTCACCTTCCCCTAGAGTCTTCCCAGGCCCTCAGTGAGAATGAGAATGGCCTCGGTCTCCCACAGAGCTCGCCAGGACCTCTGCAGTCGCACGACATCACAGCTCAGAAGATGTGTTCTGCCCTGTCCTCCACGGGGCTGGTTTCGGCGCTCAGCCCTTTCCCATCGTGAACATGGGCATGTACACACCCACAGTGCACACAGGCATGCACAGACCTGTCCAAGGCGGTCACTTTCCCGACCTGAACCAATGACCTGCTGCCATCTTGCCCACTTTTCCAAATCCCACTGGTGATATGACGCGGGCACAGCTGTGGCAGCTGGCGGCGGGTCTCTGGTTTCCCCCTGCAGCTCATCGTGAGCCTCGTGTGGGACACGGCTGACCTGCTATGGAAGGAAAGGTGGACACCAGGTGTCCAGAGATGGCTGGAAGCACAGACACTCACAGGTTCTAACTCATCGGTCCCTTCACCAGGACCACCACCCGTGAGGCATGGCCCTCACTGCGGACCTTCACCACGAGGCCTGTTAGCTTACGATTAAAAGCAGAATTGGAAAAGCAAGGACACTTTCATTGTAAAAATGAGGAGCCACTAGAATTACGCTGATGGAAACCTGCCTGAGCTCAACTGTGACACATTCTGAGTTAGGACGGCTGCTCCTGACCCGAGGGCCCCACACTTCCAGCTGGGGCTGAGCTCTGGCCCCTTGACCCCCATGCACACACGCACTCTCACGCTCCCCCAAATGCCCAACACGGCTTCTTCCCCTCGGACAGGAAAGGCTCTGCCCTGGGTCCCCCTGACCCGGGGGTAGATTCCCCTGACCTGT